AGAGGAGGGGCAAAGAGAGAGGGAGACACAGAATCCAAAGCAGATTCCAGGCTCTGAACTGTCAGCACAGAGCAATGAACCACGAGATCATGACCTGAGCCGAAGTCAGACGCTTGACCGACTGAGCCACTCAGGAGCCCCATTAAGGCAGGAAAATCTTAAGGCTATATTCTTAATGGTTTGCAACTGTCCTCAAAGACTTCATCTGGCCATTCCTCAAATCTATAAAAGATAAAATGCCTCCATTATTAACCAGATGTGACTATCAGATATTTTAGGAAAGGGGTACTATTTATGGTTTCCAAATTGTTAACTTCAAGCTTCTAAGACTTGCCCTAACAGTGAAGATCCTTGTCATATGCTTCAGGGACCCTCAAAGTGGTCTACAGTGAGAAGGAGTCAGAAAGAACAGACACCAGAAGAGAGTATCTCCCAAATGTGTTTCAACCAGGCCTTTCCTGAGCTTATCCATTTTACATCTTACCTTATTAGATAACCCCTAGTGATTTCATTTGAAGGAAAAATTCCAAATGTTAAAAAATGCTTAAAACTTCTGTCCTAGATACACTCCCATGACCATAAACTCAGCCCACAAGGAAATCACTGAGCTGGATAACCCAGGAAAACCATTCCCAGTCGGCTCTTCCACTCCCAACTAGTTCCCTCTGATGATAATCCAGGGGAATTCACATAGCAATATTGTTCCAGCAGGTCTAGAGAAATTCAGTTTCCTTATGTTATGAAATACATGAAATAAAGCCTACTAACCAAACAACCCTTTATTTTGGCACATTTATAGACCACAAAATATGATTGTGAGCTGCCACTGCTCACAGGGGAGATTTAATGGTGTTACAGAATAAATGCCAGGGCTCTGTGGAATAAAGAAATCTATTTTCAGCTAAGATTCTCAGCCAGAAGTGTCTTCCCACTAAGAAGTGTGTGAAATTTCAGAAATGTAGAAGCAGAGAGGTAAAGCATGTCAACACCCTCTAGCCAAAGACCACCAGCAGCACATCTGCAATGGACAAGCCAGGTTTATTACATGTTGCACGGAGGGAGAATGCACACCAGAGGGAACCATGAGCATTTCAATAAGAGAGTGTTAGAAAGAACCTATTAGCAGGACTCGGGCTTCTGTTGGGTAATTTTGGGGAAGGTCTAGAGAAGCAGGGCCTTGTTCTATACTGGATGCTATCAGAAAGCAGGGGCAATTCAATGACACAAATCTCAATAGGTGTTACCTAGAAGTAGGATAGACTAGAGCAGGAATAAAGCTGTAAATGGTAAAGAATTAGCAGTCACTCATAAATGATCATCTTGCAAAGAACTGGAAAAGGTCACACTAGAGAGGAACAGCTATTACTCTTTGCCACACTGGGTGAGAACCAGTGTCAATTCCTTTGTGCAGAAGACTCTGATGCTGATTTCAGAAACCCAGAGAATAATATCTTAGTTACTATGCATACCTATGTCTAGATCAAATTCTAGACATTGGCTTTGGATATGTCACTCAAGGCATTTTTACGTCCTTTTCAATAATGCCTATATTAAAGTACCTTTCCTGTGATCATTTCATACAGTTACCTGGGATAGGTAGACTATACCTGACTATTTCAGTCAAGTATCTGGTATCCAGAGGAGTAAAGACACCTGTCATCGCTTGCTTTGTAAATTGTCTGGGGTGAAGAAACCATTTTCTTTTCTCCCAATTGGTTCTGGACTTTTGCAAAATATAACAAAAATTAATTGCTAGAAAAATTAAACGATAAAACACAAACACTAGCCCCATTTTTTTATTATTATTAGGCCCAATGCAAATACAATAATTGTCAAATTGGTATAAGAGCTTCTATATATAGTCTCACTTTTGGTATTTATCTTTTCACAAGCCTGAGTCTGTAGGTACACTTTGAGTACCACTGGATTTTAAATCAAATTAAAGCATTGCTTACTACAAACTAATTCTGAGAGTGAGGCCCATTTCAAACGCACATAGTCTGCCACAGGTTGCATAACAGAAAGGAGATGTAAGGAGTTCACTCAGAAGGCCTTGCTCTGGAGCCCCCAACCTCCTGTGGCTGTTTCTTATGGGCAACAGCTTGGAAGGACACATGTAAAAGTCAGATCACTGGAATGCCATCTAAAATCAACGTAACCAAAAGGATTACACTTCTCATCCAGGTAGAGCTTCAGTAGAGATTTAACTATACTTTTGCTGGGCAGGGATTTTTCCATTGGTTGGTTATAATCAGAGCCTCTCAGGGAATGGCTTCATAGCCCATCAGGTTAATCCTCAGGCATCCATGTTATCTCAGTATCCCCACTTCCCTTTCTAAGGTCAAGAAGGTCAAGCTTAAATCCCTTTGTAGCTAGTTAAAGGGAAAAAAGGGCTCAGGAATCAGCCAAGGGAATTATTTACATTCCCTTCCATTAAACTTCCTACTTCGTCTCTGCTGAGGGCTTATCCCATCCAAGACAATCCCGAAATTCTATGAATTTGTCCCCAGCTCAATAAAGTGGTCCTGGTGCTATCTCTCCAGTCTGGTGATGTGCTCTCCATGACCTGCCCTGCTCACTGCTCTTCCTGCCCTCATTTTCACTCCTCCTCCTGGCACATGGATGCTGTGAGCTAGAAACTCTAGAAAAGGCCTCATTTCACATACCAGCCTTGTCAGCACTGCCTTCTCTGCCGGCCAGACCCACCCTTTTCCTGGATCAAGCTAAAGGTCTGGGCCACTTATCTCGGGCTCAAAACTCTGCCCTACCCATAAACTCTCTCCAGAAGATATTTCCCTTTGCTACAGTTTTTCAAGTTAAACACGACTCCACTATACATACATATGCCAGATATTCTGACATTTAAGTTCTATGGCAAATTTGACACCTTTGAGCTGTAGGGGGATGGTAACCATTATGTCTTTCACCATTTCACAGTGCCTAGAATAGCACTCGGTCCATTACTGGCTCCCGCAAGTATTGTTTATTTAATTAATTAATTAATTAATGGATCAAAGAATGGAACAAATGAATACTTGCAATGTGCAAAGGGAGTGTAGTACACACACCCATTCAATATCCATGTATACGTGATGTTTACACCGTATCTTAAGAGTGAGAACTTAAAAATCCTAATAATTAACATTCATTCATACTCTATATTTTCCTCTTCCTTATAACAACTTGTTATTGCCCCATGTTTCTGTACCTGTGATTGGATCATTTGACATGTATGGGAAGAAAAACACTGATTTCTAGGTCAGATTTAAAAATGATTTCTTCCTCTCCCATATCATCAGACGATGTGGGAGAAGAAGGGGAAAAATACTTGGGGGAAGGGAAGGAGGCAAACCATGAGAGACTCTTGAACGCTGAGAACAAACTGAAGGCTGATGGGGGTTGGGGAGAGGGGAAGGGGGGTGATGGGCATGGAGGAGGGCACTTGTTGGGATGAGCACTGGGTGTTATATGGAAACCAACTTGACCATAAACAATTTAAGAATAAATAAATAAATAAATACATATAAATATGATTTCTTTGCCCTTTTGTCCTCCTCAAACTGATTTTCAAGCCAGTATCCCATGTCTCAAATCTTAACTGAGAAGATAAAAAAGTACACACTTTTTTATGTTAGAAAACTAACACATAACACTGAATTAAGTTTATACTCAATATATTTTACTTAAAAGTATTATAAAATAGTACTTTTTATATAATTTATTTTCTTCTATATCTTAGTGGTACTGAATCAAGCTCTCTCAATGAATTACTTTAAACTTAGTCTTCCGGAAAGCACTTTCTTTATTTCCCAGTCAGTGACTTAATAATTCACATCTATTCAATCTTTGTGTAGAATGAAAAGAATCTGAGAGATTCCTTATGTCTTCAGACCCCAGAATACCATCTAGCACCAAATGCGAAGGTATATATAGATCCTAACCTAACGGAGTCCAACTTGAAGACTTGGACCTGTTCTATTCAGTTTTCTGTGCTGGCTTTTAAAACCCTACAGAACATCAGGAGACAGTATAAGACTGAAGAAATAAAGCCTAAAACAATGACCCTACCAGCATTTGGTAAAACATATGTATCATAACTCCTCTCGGTTGGGGCTATGCATAGAAAGAACAATCACAAAAAAATTCATGGTATTGTTGGAGGACCAGCTAAGGTAGAATAATCATAAGCAGGAACATAAGGACTATTTTGAGAGTGACAAAACAAAGGGAATAGCCCTGAACTCCCAAGAAACAGCAGGCTGGCAACCACAGAAAGAAAAATGGTTGCTTTTTTTGAACAAAGACTTGGGAGTCAACTGTGGATGGAAGAGGCATAAACACTGACACACTTTTCAAATGTCATCTGGAGATACAAAATGAATAAAAATATTTCATATCTGCAGAGGGTGTGAAGAAGGGTCGGGTACTACTGGCCTCGACAACAAAACTAAAGAGCAATAAATGGGTATTTTATTTGAAAATAAAGAAAAAAACTGAATCAAAGCCACAATGCAGAGTACATCTCATGTTTGTAAAGTAATGCTATTTGAACAAATCCTGACAAAGTATCTGCTCATTTCCCATTTTAGCGTTCTGTGGGGAAGCAAAAGAATGCATTCAAAATACTTTCTTTAAGAAGATATCCAAAGTTTCCACATAAGAAGTGAAATACTATCATTTTGGAGGAATCTATATTTCTTTAGAAAATTTTCAGAATGCTTTGAAAGAAATAGGCAAATAAAATACCCCAAAGTAAGACAATTAAAACTATAATCAAAAAACGATAAATTATCTTTTGTTTCTTGGAATAATGTTGTCTTCATGTCAAAACTAAGCCAAGGCATACATCTTGACAGTAAAGTGCTTTCTAATGCTTCTTCCTGAACTTAAAATATAACAATAAGGCTTCCTCTCTACCTCTACCTACCAAGTCACTCTGAAGCAATGCTGTGCTCTGACACACCTGCAAACACACACACACAAAAGGGAATAAGTCTTACCAGGCCATCACAGTTGCTAATGGCAACAGAGGTTCCTGGAATGTCCATGATGTCACCAACATAAGCACAGTTAGTCTGCAAAGGCTCTGTTTTCCAGATTCTTTCTGAAGCATTTCCTGCTTGATGGTCATTATTGGGGTCGGTTATATTCCCAGGCACCAGAGAGGTCTCATGCCATTCCACAACCGCCCCGGGAGCTACTAGCTGAGTGTTGCGCTTTAGTCGCAGATGAAAATCTCTTCCGAATGCTGTGATGTTAAAGAACAATTGCTCAGAGTTGGAAGACACGTCCCTCGTTGACCTCTTTTTGTGATTTGCAGAAAGAATATGGGAGAGATAGTGTCCTTCAAAATCTGTGCTGACTGGAGTCACCAGCTCATACTCTCTCTGTCTCTTTAATTTGGGTAAATCTGTAGGGTGAGAAATAGAATGGTAGAAGCCTATGCAACAAGAGGACACAGGAGGACAAACATTGGCCCAAAGTGCCCACCTCACAAGACTGCACCTCATCTTCCAAAATACATACGTTCCGGAGCCGTCTCTCAGGTATGAAATTTTGAGAACTCAAATCATTTCTCAAATATATTTTGGTAACTCTGTGTTCAATGAATCATTTTATTTGAAAAAATGGATTACAATGTGAATATTCCTATCTCATTTATATGTCTGAGGATATAACAAGTTTCCATAAACTATATCTGGATTGCTTATAATCAAGACAAGCTCCCAATTAACTTATTACTCAGAAAACTGACACCTGCTACGAATGTTTAACAAAATTGTTATTATGTAGAAGGAATTTTTTTGATTGTTTTATTTTTTCCCTGTAAGAATCCTAGAATTATTACTGATTAAAATAGCTGCCTTATGTTGCATCTGCCATAGGCCTATACTTTATACACTGTAGTTTATGGTGCTGTCATTTACACATATTTTTTCCATCATAACAACCCTAACAATCATACTCCACGGTGAGGAAACTGAGATTCAGGAAGTATGTGTCCAAGGCCAAGTAACTGTGAAACTCAGATATGAATCCAAGTTTTACTCCAAAGTCCATACACTCATTCTGCTACATTTGAGTTGTGCTCCATAAATCACAGAACATTTTCAGAAAATGAGAAGAATGGGTAAAAAAAAAAAAAGTAGAAATCATAATCTATAAATTGAAGATGCAGATGCAGGTTAGTTAAGAACAAATGGCATTGTCATTTTCTACCATATTCCTTATGTGGGACAGATACTCATTTTATTTCATTTACTTTTATTTTTTAATGTTTGTTTATTTTTGAGAGAGAGAGACAGAGAGACAGAGCACAAGCAGGGGAGGGGTGGAGAGAGAGGGAGACACAGAATGCAAAGCAGGCTCCAGGCTCTGAGCTATCAGCATAAAGCCTGACGTGGGGCTCGAACTCACAAACTGTGAGATCACGATCTGAGCTGGTCGGATGCTTAACTTATTGAACCACCCAAGTGCCCCAATACTCATTTTTTATGGGTATATATTTGGAGTCTACTTTACTTACATCATGAGTGGCCACCTACACGTCAAGCTTAATTTCACAATTAATTCCCTTATTTTAGCCAAATGTACTATGTCTACTAAAATGCAAACATCCTTGAGAAAGATAGAACATTGAATAAACCATTTATCCCTTACTAGAAATTATTTTGAAGCAAAAGAGCACAGATACTGGAAACAAAATGAGGAAGACAAGGATGAGAAAAGAAGGCAAGCAAAATCTGATAACAGAAATTAAAAAGCTTCCCATCTTCATGATTCTAGCCCAAGACCAGTCCTGCAGCGTATAAAAGTGCCCTGAAAAAAATGACATGATCCACAAATACTTCTCACCTAGAGGAACTGCATGTACGTCATCTAATAAATGAAAGTGTAATGACTCATAACTGAACCGCCAACCTATGATCTGAAAGTATCCTTAAAGAATATTTTCATTGTTTTCTTGCGTTTTAAAGACTTCAAACAATGTATAAAGTACCAGAAGACAAATGAAGGTATTTTGCAACTTGGAAATTCTTTGAGAGCATGTTTGTTATCATTATGCCATTAATAGTGACCAATGTATTTAAACAAAATATCCTTATTTATTAAGTGCACAGATCAAGTGACCCTGCTATAAATCTGTAGTAGGCAGAGGAGTGAGGACTATCTTATCGCACAGTTAAGTGATGCTGGCTCCAATGCTGAGGGGGACAGCACACAATCCCTGCTTCGTCGGCTCTCTATCATAGCCGAGGACCTTCCCTAGGCATCAGTGTAAGCACAGACACAAAGATGCGGCCTCTCTTACAGCCAAATCCGTGGGGAATACTTTTGTAACTTCTGGTTTACAGAAAGAACTCTACATTTTAGGAATAAACTCAAGAATCACAGGAGCAGAGTGATGCTTGATAGAGGAAGGGATGAATCAGGCTCTTAGATGTGGACTGGCAAAGCCTATCCCAAATTAAGTATAAATTCCTAAGGACAAGAAACTTCCCCATTCAGCTTGGTAATTCCAATATCATCTAAAACAAGATTTTATACATGCCAGGGTCTCTTGTCAGTAGTACCTGTTTAACATGTATTAAATTAGTAATGCCAATCACCAGAGAGCCTTTGCTTTGTCTGTGAGGCTACACACTAACTCACAAGACATACTACCCAAGGCCCAGGGGCGTCTGGCCGCACAAGCAATCCCAGTTAGAACTCCTTCTCTAACCATGTGTTTACTGTTTCAAGGGAAGGAGAGCTCCCCTCTCTACTAAAGGGTATTCACACAACCAAAGTCTAGACAACATACTGATGCCTGGATTAAGTGACTGGAGAACTAGAAAATTTAGGGAGAATTCAAGGAGGCTCCTCCACACCCACGAGGAATCAAGAGCTGCATGCTTACAGCAAACCATGCATCCCAGACTCTCTAGGACAGCTCCATTTTTCGTCTGTCAGACAGTATGCTTTGCATTCTTATTCAAAATAAAGATGGCCTATTTCCATAGAGCTTTGTCTTCTCTGATGCGAAATAATGAGTCATTCCAAAAATGTGCACATAAGACACATTGCTGAAATTAAACCTGCAATGAGTAATCTTCCAGTTGGGAATTAAGGTAACCAAGGGAAAAGATGCACTTAGGAAACCCCCAGGTTTCCATCCCTTTGGACAGGAGCTAGCAGAACTGACAGAGGAGCTACCAGGTTACCTGCCATTTATTGGCAAGAAGAATAGGGGGCACTGTGCTTTATGTTCAAGACTATCGCATCTCTCATTCTCACAACCATCACAGTAGGTAAGGAGATGTCATGATCCCTGGGTTATAAATGAGAAAGCAGGCCCAGAAGGCTTGACACAAAACAAGCAAGAGGCTAAAGGAAAATTTCATTTTTGATCATTTTGACATTGAAGACCATGCTCCTGTGCTCTTTTTTTTTTTTTTTTTTTTTAGTGTTTATTTTTGAGAGAGAGAGACAGTGAGAGAGAGGGAGGGACAGAGAGAGAGAAAGAGAGAGAGAGAGAGACAGAATCCGAAACAGGCCCCAGGCTCTGAGCTCTCAGCACACAGCCTGATGCGGGGCTCGAACTCATGAACGATGAGATCATACTACACTTGATCTTAGCCAAAAGGCCGAGAAGCGATGACGAACCATGAGACCATGACATGAGCCAAAGTTGGAAGCTTAACCGACTGGGGCACCCAGGTGTCCCTCCTGTGCTCTTATTCACTTCAGAATAGATGGAACATCTTGCTGCTGATTCCTACTTTTAAGATCTGACTTATAAAGGAAACCTACCACATGAATGACAATGTTCTGTCTACTCACAGCCAATCACCTAATTTTTCCTCCAGTGTAGCTTCGAACATTTCTGTAAAAGGCTCTCAAATCCTCCATCTTTGGGAGAAAAAAGGGGGCAGGGGATGATGGGGAAAGCTCAAAGCTATCAAAAGCACTTTAATCTCAGATTATAATTACACAAACAAATTAAATTATATCCAGTGTTAATTTACTATAATCAGAAATGAAACACTTCATAGGTCCAAATACTTGCACAAAGCAGTACAGCCTATGGTTAAGGAAGGAACCACACTGTCAGGAAGCAGCAAGCTAAGTCAAAACAAATAACTTTGCTTTCTCTCAGGCTCAGTGTCCTCAGGTGTTAACTGGAGTTACCAGTTACCGGGAACTAGTAATAGTTCCAACCTAGTAAGAAGTTCAAATGAGATTATGTGATTATGCAGAAGATGCAATAAATATTAGCTACTGTTAAATGTAAGTTAGCTCCGCATTAAAATATTGCCCATGTGCAAGTTTAAAACCTGAAACTATATAATTATCAACAGAGATGACTGAGGGCCACAGCAATACGTATGTAAAGGTTTTGGGGTCCATAAATTCTACAAGCACAAATAAGGAGAGCCACTGTAAAGCCACACTGTGGTCACTAGGTACCCAAGCAGGACTCAGATGCAGTGGACCTTCCCCAACTGCCTGGTGTCCACGCACACATGGTCCATCTCCCTCCTGGTGCTATGGATGAGCTGCTTGTGATCTTACTCAGGGGCAAACCCACCAGGTGTGCACCATGTGCTAGCCCCTCTGGCCTCTACAAAAACTGTTTCTGCAACTGTCCTCTCTTCTCTCCTCATCAGTTTCCCACATCACTAGATCATTCCCACCATCAAACTAATAAGCTGCCATCCTATCTCCCATCTTTAATAAAAACCCTCTTGATGCGACAGCCCTCTCTAGCTGACACCCCATCACTTCACTACCCTTTATATAAAAGGGTATAAAATACTTTAAAAGATTGACTATAACAGACATCTCCAGTTCCTCTCTTCCCATATTTGCTCTTCCTTGGGTCTGATCCAGTTAGGCTCTTGGGGTTACTAGCGACCCCATCTGGCTGAAACCAATGGTCAAGACTCTATCTCCTTACTTGCCATATCAGCAGATTCTGACCCAGCTCATCTCTCCTTCCTTCTTGAAATATGTTCTTTCTTTAGCTTCCAGGCCATATTTCTCTTCTGGCTGTCCTCTTTCCTCCATGACTGGTATACACCACAGTGCTGTAGGACCTGGCCCATGGACTGCTCTCTTCTGCATTTACCCTCCCCTGCATGGTAAGTTCATCCCATCCCATGAGTGTGAGTGTGCCTTCACAATCCTTCATCTCCAGCCCTGGCTTCATCCATAGGCTCCTCTGTGGTCCACTCCATTGCTTATGGGTCCTCTCCATGTAGACATTCCCTAAGCATCTCAACTTAACATTTCCAGAAGTAAACTTCCTATGTCTCTGTTCCCATGTCAGTAATTGGTAACTCAATCCTCCCAGCGACTCAGAACAAAAACTTGACTAAACTATCCTTACTCTTATCAGCTCACAAATCAAATCTTTCAACAAATTCT